ACAAAAAAAAAAAATCTTTTGACTGAAACTTTTTCCTCGGCCAAACCCCATTCCTCAGCCATACCTGTCACACAGTTTAAGAGCAGTTTTTCTTCTTGTAATCAGGAGCGCTTGTCCTCCGAATTCAAACAAAAATGAAGGAGCACCTTCTGATCAATAATGAAAAATTCTGATCAAAAATGAGCCTTCCTAATATGAGGTGAAGTGATTTACAGGGGCATTTTCTTTTTACCTTTGCAATGGCATAATTTTCATCTGTAAAATTTAAACATTTGTTTATAAGCTTTTTAAAATTTCTATTTAAAACAACATAATAAGAAATAGAATAAGACAAATAGGTTGCCATGAGGAACTTCTGTAGGTCTATGTAACTGATATGAAGATAGTTTTGCTCCAATGAAACTGTCAAATGCTCATGAAGTGAGGAGTCAGAGCAGTTCTGGAGATGTTGTTCATGTATTTATGTCCTCATGTAGTGAGATGACAGAAGCTGAAATCACCGCGAGCGTCGCACACTTTGTATGTGTAGAAAACAAAACCGCTCATCTGTGCCATTTACATACACAGAGGCACGCAGAACACGCTGGATTCATATTTAAATAGTATTTTTGCAGCTTAATATTTACAGATACTAGTCCATATTGCACTCTATAAGTGTACTGACCTACTTTTGATTAATTCATCCAAACTTTGACAAATTCTGTGACATTCCACGTCATACAGTAAATTCCATTTATATGACTGGATTCCGCGATTCCGTCCGCGTTTTCCGCATCGCGGAAATCATAGATAATATTGAGGTGTTTTGCAACTTCAGTGTAACGTTAGTGGATTGGGATCTATTGCAACTTAAGCAACATCTGCTGCTGCCTTACCTTTGAGAGACAACTGATGCGTTATCACTGAAGCAGCTCCAGTTAGCAAGCGCTTTTGGAGTGAGAGTGAATTCTGCATTGATTGGTCGGACTCATGACTCCCAACAAATCAGATGAGCGGTGGGCGGAGACTGCTTTAGGCCACAGAGTGGTGAGTTCTGACAGGCTGCATCAGAGCCAAATAGCGCGTTTCAAAATTAAGTTATGTTATCGGCGAATCGGTTTTGAAAATGACCGATACCGATAATCATAAAATGCTTAATATCGACGCCGATAATCGGTCGACCCCTAATTTATATAAAACAAACAGACAAAAAGGATAATTGTACAGTGTTTTTACAGGGTCCAAATTTAACCACCAGCCATCAAAATGTGACTAAAAATTTGCTAGACAGTTTTTTTTTTTAAATTGCAAATAAATCATGGTCTAATTCACAGTGAAGTAAAGAAGGATAGTCAGAGATGTTAGCAAATCAAATCATGAAGATACAGTTGGAGTAGTAAAAAACCTCAGTGGAAAATTTACCATCAGCAGTTTAGCAGTTTTTTTCTTGTAATTGCAACTCTGGATCTTCATTTGGGGATACAGTCTTGCTGTTAAACCACCGAAATATAAATATGAGGAACAAGATCACAGTTTCATGACAACTGGCATCACAAAGTTTCACTTGCTTGTATATGATGCTATAAGAGACATCACGATCTGCTACAAATATATTAGGGAAATAGCTTAATAATTCCAATTACCAAATGTAATTTTTAGGAAGTAATGCAAAATACAGTTTCATAGCCAAAAGTTTATTTTGGACTATTTGTATGCTGTTCGTTTCGTGTTCCTCTTGTGTCATAGAAAGATGCTTCACAATTTGAACCTTCTGTGGTCAGCGTTTATTGTTTTGAAGTATATTTTTAATATGAATTTAATTCCGATTTTATTACTGTTTTTGTATTATTTAATAGTATATTGACATCAGCGTTTGTCTTGACATGCTTTCCTTTTCAGTTTATGAAACAATGACGTGACGTTTTTCAGTCCACCTGGTCTCTCCCTGCTAAACTCTCTGTGATGCTTAGTTTAACGTCTTAAATTTAGCATATTTGCCTATTTAGTTCAAACCTATAGGAGCTTCCAACTGATCCTACTGCCATTATACCAACATAATTTAGCAATACCAGGAAATATAGTATAAGAACAGTGAACCTGTTGCCTCTGACAGCCTGCTTATAGATGTATTTTTAGTGTCCCAAAGCAACAGAGGAGTGAAATAGCTGTTGTTTATCTATATCAGTTTATGCTTGCACAACATTTTAAACTTCATTGTGATACGCTTGATGCCATGTGGTGTAATCTGGACAAGAGCCTGTTGGATTGCTCCATTGCATAGGCTGATTACTCGGTTGATGAGCTGGCAAGGTTGCAGCTTTGGAGCACATGACATGACTAATCTTCCCCTCCAATCTGTCTAAGCATTGTGGATATGATTCTGTTTGTGATAAATCCTGAATGTGAAGAGCAAAGGGCTGTTATGACAGCAGCACTGGCATTTGAAAAGCACCCTGTCAAACCGACATAAAGTATATATTTAACCCTCTGGTATTCCTCACTTAGGGGTCACACTTGTGCCGCTTGTCAGTCAAAACATACTAATTGTACCTGTTTCAATAATATTTATTCTGTAATAAATGTGTATTTTGTAGCTTAATAATGCAGCATTTATTTAAAAATTTTAAAGATTTAGTTCACTTTAAAAATGAACATTTGCTGTAGATAAGTTTGTGTCTTCATCAGAACAGATTTGGAGAAATTTAGCATTATATCACTTGCTCACCAATGGATCCTTTGTAGTGAATGGGTGCCGTCAGAATGAGAGTCTAAACAGCTGATAAAAACATCACAATAATCTGCAAGTAATCCACATGACAGCAGTCCATCAATTAATGTGTTGTGAAATGAAAAGCTGCATGTTTGTGAGAAAAATTCCATTATTAAGATGTTTTTAACTTCAAACCATTGCTAGCTTATATATTATATTGTTATACCTCTATCTATAATATTGCTTGAGGTTGAGTAAATGTTCAGTACATTTTTATTTTTAAAACTTTTCTTTTAAAACCGTGATATATTTTTGTGTTCATGAAAAGTGCCACAAAAATCACCAAGTTCTGTAGCATTCCGATAACTTAAACATTTTTTAAAAATGTATAACATTCAAATTCTTCGATCTGAAATGACCAAAGGCCACCAGAGGGTTACATTTCTATTTCCAAAAATAATGCTGTGCCAGTGCACATGTAGGATTGAAAACATAAATCACATTCATAGTTCTGAACTGAGGCGTTTTGTGTCTGTATGTAGATACACAGGTAAAGCTGCTGCCCCCTTCAGGAGTGGAAGTGCTAAAAAGACCTCAGAAGACTTTGGGAACATTCAAAGTGGATGGATATTTAGTTACTTAGTTACACATATTTGTAAAACTGTAATCCTTGGGAGTCTTTTTTGGACTGTGATATCGCACAAGTCAAATAAATGTTAGTTTTCTGTGTTTAAGGCTAGAGAGCTGAAGATAGAAGTTGTTTATTTTGTTTTAGAGACAGAGTGCTTGTTTTCCCTCTGGTGGGACATATGGACGGCAATTTCCTTACCTATTAAAACTGTAACTAAGTTTAAAGAAAACCAGAGCACTTCCTTCATGGGAAAATCGCTAAAGGGGAATGGATGCAAGTCCACAAGAAAGATCTGTTTATACTAATGAGCACAGATGGAGTCATTGCATGTTTGAATGACATGTCGAGACTTACGCAAATCGCAGAACAACAGGCTTCTATTGGAATGTCTTTACACAAGGATGTTTTATGGAGTGAGTAATAAGATTGTGTCTAAATCCCAATTCACGTCCTTCTACTATACATTACAAAAATATGTGCTTTTGAGTATTTAAAGTCTGCGTGAACCAGAAGTTGCTGCCGACTTTATTTCAGTGTAGTGACGTATTTCCAGCTGAAACTTTTAAGGCTTATTCTGTGGCGTTTATATAAGCCTTTTGACGGGTTGTGTCACAGAGCTGTAAAAACTGTTATGCTCACCAAGTGAATGAATCGCGTTTGTGCCGAACTCTTATTACAAAGCAAAAATAAACACTCTTCTTCGATCCATGAACGTTTCTCTCAGTTAATGTGCGCGATGTCATCTCACAGTCTGAAACGTCTGTCAAAGCAAATCAACACATGCTGTTGTGAATAATTAAGCGAAGCGTCTTCTCATAGGATAAGAACACGTAGTCTCATGAATAATTTAATAGACACCGACGCGTCATTGATGTACTGTAGTCCATTGCCACGTCACAAATTGTGACGTCAACACAATGTAGATTTTAAACCCGGAAGATGAAAATGGCGCAAAATGTCTTAAAAATAACCAGTTTTCTCCAACAGTTAATATTATCAGATGCTAACATTGTCTTCTATGATGGGCAATGCAAACACCTCTGCTAAAATCTCAGAAAAAGTAGTCTGGGGTTTCATGACCCTTTAAAGAGAATCTATGCAAGTGTTAGCATCTAAATGTATTCCTATGATGTTTTAGCAGCCATTACTCCAGTCTTCAGTATCCTTCAGAAATATGATGTTCAAGAAACATTTCTTATTATTATAACAGTTGAAAACAGTTGTGATACATTTTAGCATTCTTTGATGAATAGAAAGAATTTTTTTTTTAGCATTTAATTAAAATAGAAAATTTTACTGTTTTTGGAAATCATAACATTATACCTTTTTACTGTTTATTTAACAATTTAATGTTAAATAAAAGTGTTTTTTGCACTAATCTTGGCTACCATAGAATGTATAGTATGTGAATTGGGATGTTGAGTCATTTAATATGCACAATTATCTGTGATTTTGAGTATCTACATTTGTTTCTGTGTATGAAAATAATAATGTGCATCATTTTGAGTGACGCACCATTTCTCAAACATCTTTATATTTGAGTCTGTGACTCCAGACAACGTGACCTTAAAGGCCCGTTCACACCAAGCACGACAACTATAAAGATAACGATAAAGATATAGTTCTAAAAATCGTTCTCAATATTAAAGAATAGCATAGTTCACACCACAACTATAACGATGACGATACAGAGGAACGATATTGTTGCGATCACTTTCAAAGCGATTTTTTTCCAGCTGATGAACGATAAAACACTGACAGCCAATCAGAATCCATCCTGCTGTAACGAGCTCAAGAATTTAAAGCGGCAGACGCATGTGCGCTTAGAATAAATAGACGATATCGTTCGCTGGTGTGGACGCTAATATCGTTATCTTTATAGTTATCGTTCTTGGTGTGAACGGGGCTTAACTCTTTATAAAGTGTCTGATGTTAATGTTGTCAAGTTGTTTGTTTTCTTATTGTATTTAGTGACAATTTAAATTCTTTATTTCTGTATGTTGCTGGATTTTAAGTTTTGAAAATAAATAAACATGCACACATCTGCAGGCTGTGATCTTCCAACGTTTTTCTCTTCAAGCTTCAGAGTAGAATACTCAGCCTATATGTAGGATAATCAGTCTTAAACGTTACATGTAAAGGCAGTTTGTGTTCCTTATTAAAAGCCACTTCAATTTGGGCTCCTTTCCTGTCTGTTTTTTTCCTTCTGTTTTCTTATTTTCCATAAAATGCTTTACTAACATTAAAATGTCAGGCGTTTTTCTTTTGCACTCACGATGCTAATGTAAGTTTCATCCTCCTTTGTTTTTTTTTTACATTTTCAATTCTGATTATTACCAACTCTTCTCAGCTAAGCACGCTAAAAGACAGTTTCTGTGTGTGTTTTTTTTTGTTTTCAGATTACATTTGGATCAGAGATTCCCAAGACCTACTATGTTCGAGACTCCATTAAAGTGGACTATGATCAGTCTGTGACTATTGGCCGTGGCTCATCTCATCAGGTGGAATATGAGCTACTTGCACCAAACTGTGCGCTAAGGTGAGCAATCTGAGGAAACACAAAAAGTTTTTTTTTTTCTAATACTAATACAACACAAAAACACTTTCTGAAACTGGTAATAGACGTGGGAGTTTGCTATGAAGCAGTCAGTGATCATGACATCAAAGGTGCAGTAAACAGCTTCTTTTTGGAAAACCATGCATAAAACTTCAGCTACCAAAACCTTATATGCCAAACTAGCTAACCAGCAACACTCTCTGCATGGGACGTGCATTTGGGTTTACTAGCATTGGGTTGGAAAGGCCTGTGTTTGGATATGATTTTGTGGTCTTAATTTGATTACATTGACAAAACATTAAAAACACTTTCAGCAACATTTTATTAAAGGGGACATGAACTGAGGAACCAAAATTCCCTTGATCTTTTGACATATAAGAGGTCATTGTACTATAAAAACATCTTGTAAGTTTCAGAACTTAAAACTTTGTCATTAGTCTAAAAACAGCTTATATTGAAGGCAGTCTGCCAAAGCGACAGCTTTTGGAACGTTCTACTCTATGATGTAATAGTGTGGATAAGCACCGCCTCTGCAGAAGATCAACACCTGCTTCTACATCACTGCTTGTTTAGCCCCGCCCACCGATTCGCACATGTAGTGTTTATGAGAGTTGTTGATATTCGTTTTTGACCTAAATCACAGCTGCGTCCATCTATGAGGATTGTACGCTGTCAAATATACACAACTATTAGCCAATCATAGCAGTGGGCGGAGTCCACAATCCGCCACGCCTATTCAAACAGAGCGTTCTGATGAGGGGGGTTACAGGACAGGACAGAAAATAGCCTATTCTAAATTATTATGTTTTTTTTATGTAAAAATCTTGATAACATTATAAGTGGACCTTAGAGAGCAGTACAATATAAAAAACAAAGGCGGTTCATGACCCCTTTAATTAAATATTAACCTTTTGACCTATTGAATAATAATAAAATGTTATAAATGATTAATTATTGGGGTTTATTCATCATATTCAGTATATGAGAATAGACATCTGGTATTAGCAGGAGAGCTTCACATCGCAGGAACTCAGTCTATGTGTGATGCTCTACTCTCTTCTTCAGATGGCAGTTCACCTGTGATGGTGCTGACATAGGTTTCGGTGTCTATGAGAAGACGAAGATGGGAGAGTGGATGAAGGCCAGTGAAATGAAGGAAATTGTGCCAAATCAGCGTTACAACGCACACCTGGTACCCGAGGACGGATCCCTCGCCTGCCCAGAACCAGGAGTGTGTAAGTACAGACTTAACAGGCTTTATTTTATATCACCAATTGAGATGAACATTAAACGTGCATGTGGATTTACTGAATTTTGTTTTATTCAGACGTACTGCGATTTGACAACACATACAGCATCTTCCAGTCCAAAACGGTCAGCTTCACAGTGGAGGTTCTCCTACCTAGTCAAGTCAACCAATCAGAACGTTAGAAATGCTGACAACTAGCAAAGCAGACAATAAATTGAGATTATGAAACGGTTTGGAAACTCTTGCTCTTAAGCATAACAAACTCATGACATCTTATACAGTATATCTTCTGTACTATAAAAGGAAAATATTATAATAATGCTGCTCTCGACAAGGAGAGTATGTACATTAATTGAACTGACTAATCACTGCATTAAAATGGTGGGATGAAATTTACTCTTCAGTGATCGATGTGCAATGACAGACTGTTTCGTCCACTGATATATCTGGATCCTGACTTCGATGCCAGTGTGATTCTTTACATTTGTTTCTCTAAGATGAAGCTGTTATCAAGTTGATTTATCATATATTAATGAAGTGTTGAGCTTATCAGTGAGCTGTGGTTTATCAAGTGTAACAACTGTGTTGCAAATTACTAGACTGAAACCGTCTTGGTATGTATTATTTGAGCTTGCCCTTTTGTGCCCTCTTTATGATTCATGTTCTTTATCTGTTTGGTTCCTTTTGATCATGAATTCATTTAGATAATGAACTCCGATTAGTCTGCACAGTTTTCTCTCAGAATGTGGTTTGAGGTTAAATTATTACCTACTTTTATGTTGTTGACGCACACAAATCTGTGAACCTTTTGAAATATTTTGTTTACAAAGAGCATTTGACTTGATACGGAGTATGATGTCGACATGTCATGGGTAGTTTGCGGTTTTTTTAATCCTTTTTTATTTATTGAACTAATTGATGTAAACTTTTCATAGTAAGATTTTATACCTCAGGTCCTTGTGTTTACAGTAACAGTGCCTGTATTTGATTCCAGCAACATGCATCTGTTCTGTAAGTGACCACATTGCATTTTGTCTGATTTGTCTCTATTGATTCTGTAATATTAATGTAATTTATAAGTGATATTGTATTGATTTTGATTAATTAACTAATTAAATATATACATTTCAATAGCAAAAACAATCAGTTTTCATGTCTTTCTGACCTATATTTATGCATACTTTTAAACGAGTGTCTAACATTCAGTTCCCATGCACAGACTAAATCTACTCTAAAAAAAAAAATTATCAATGTGTGATGTACACTAGTTGTATTAATGGATGGTTGACGCCTGTCTGATGGCTCCATCTGTTGGTGAAGCATGTAAATTCTTTATAATGAGGTCAGTTACATCTTTGACCATTAGAAGAAGGTGCCATTAAAATGGAAACCTGTCTTATAATACAAGCACATTCGCGCACAGACACTCAATTTAAATTGTAATAATATTTCACAATATTAGTGTGAATAGTTATTAGTTTGTACTTTAATTTTTGATAAAAATAAATAAATAAATACAGCCTTGGTGAGCATACCAGACTACTACTACTTTTCTCCGTTTAAGTTTGAAGTCTTTGTGGTGCTTAAACCGTAATCTATTATATTAATTTAAAAATAATAAGAAAATAACAAAGGCTCTTAAACCCCTTTTCAAAAATACAATAAAAACATTACTATTGTGAACTTCACAAGTTACATAAAAAGCCACATTGGTCTAATCTGAATATGAAAAGTAAGATTGTTTACTACTTTTACTGCTAAAAGTGCTAAAACTATAGTTGGTCAAATTGGTTCTTGGTCTTAACACTTGTCAATGTTTATGCAACTGGCACCTGTGCTGAATTTTCAGTCTAATCTAATTAGTTCTGTCAAACGATTAATTGTGATTAATCACATCCAAAATAAAAGTTTTTGTTTACATATGTGTGAGTAGCCTATATATATATACACGAGTAAATACATGTAAATATTTTGTATTTATACATAAATATACATAGTACACACACACATATATGAAGTAAACAAAAACTTGTATTTTGGATGCGATTAATCACGATTAATCATTTAACAGCACTAAATCTAATCTATGCTAATTTGGTGTTCAATAAATATTTCTTGTTATTAGGCTATATCAATGTTAAAAAGAACGTTGTACTGCTTAATATTTTGTGGAAACTGAGATAAATTTTTTTAAGAATTCTCTGATCAATTGAAAGTTCAAACGAACAGCATTTATTAGACATTTTTGTAACGTTATAAATGTCTTTACTGTCACATCATCTTAGATAGTATTGTACAGATACAACCATAGACTACCCCCGGTTTCACAGACAAGGCTTAAGCCTAGTCCCAGACTAAAATGTAAATCTGAGCTGTGCCAACTGAAAGAAACTTGCACTGACTGATCTTAAAATATATCAGTGCCTTTGTTTTGGCTCAAGATGCAGACCAGTAATGTGTTTTCTAAGGCACGTTTATGAAAAATTACTTAAATGTCCTAATTAAACTATGGCCTAATCCTGGTTTAGTCTAAACCCTGTCTGCGAAACCAGGCCCTTATGTCTATGGATATAACAAGCTACCACAAGTTTTGATCAGGCATTTAAAACAGCTACCGCCTGGGTCCTAAAGGAGACCCGATCGCGGGTGGAGAGACTCGATTTCTCGCGACGGCAGCGGCAGCTTCATTCTCAGGTCGGGAAACTGACAACAAACGAATAGAGAAAAACAGAGACAAATCTGCATCCATCCTTCCGAGTTTCTCTATCCGGTGGAAATATATCGATATATGTGAGCTGAAGCGACAGTCGTACGTTCAATCGGTGAGTTATTAGCGCGCTCTGTGCGGTTATTCGCCGGTTTGGGGCCTGTTTGTCGCAGGATGTCTCAGTGTTCGTGTCGCTTTGTTCTGAGCAGCAGCCATGTTTAATCGGCTCACACATCAACAAGTCACCAGAAACCCCTCATTAACGCATTGATTACTCATTTTACCAGCCGATGTTAATTAAACACCCGCGCTGCCGCGCTTTCTGTCCCGGTTTGAAGCTCGTTTGTCGGATCTGGTGGAGTTTATACAACAGAAGCGGCTCGAGGCTAATGTCAATAGCATTGCTAAAGACCTCATGGAGTCTCAGTGAAAATCGCTCACGTTATATTAAATGTTATTTATCAGCTCTCACGCTCGTGTTTACAACATCTAGTGTGTGGTCGTGTTGATTTCGTGTGTGTGAAATGAGCGGTTTGTTTAATAATCAGGCTGAAGAGCTTCTGTTTACATCTCATGCTAACTGTACATTCACAGTTATCGTTGACAGATGTGTTAGCTTCGTTTAGCCTGGCCTCAAAATGTTTCGTATTACATCACATTGATTTCATAATGATCGCTTGTAAGAGCTCACTGTCAGTATTTCTCGGGAAGTCTCACTATGTGTATTTCTCATGAGAGCAGATTTTATATCTCTGTCATGATGAATCTGAGTTTGTCACTGATGATGATGATGATGATGATGATGATGATGATGATGATGGTGGTGGTCTTTTATAAATGTGTGAGCAGTGCATCAGCCATTTTTGCAATTATACAAGCAAGAACTGAGCAATATTAACAACATGCACGTACTGTAGGGTTAGGATTTGGTTCAGGTTTAGTTGCTTGTAATTATGCATCAGTTTTTGTTATCAGTATATTAAAGATGTGTAACCTGAAACGGACACTAAAGTAAAGTGTTACCTTTTTATTAAAGGAGTAGTTGGCCCAAAAATGAAAATCTGCAAAAAATATCCTCACCCTCAGGCCGTCCAAGATGAAGTTTGTTTCTTAGTAGGAAGAGATTTGGAGACATTTAGCACTTGCTCACCAATGGATCCTCTGCAGTGAATGGGTGCCGTCAGAGTGAGAGTCCAAACAGCTGAAAAAAACATCACTGTAATACACAAGTAATCCACACCAGTCCAGTCCATCAGGTAATCATCTTGTGAAGCCAATAGCTGTGTTTGTAAGAAACAAATCCATCATGAAGGCGTTTTTAACTTCAAACCGTTGCTTCCGGCTAAAATATGAGTCTCCAGTCAAAAAGTGGTCTGAATCAGGAGAAAAATATGCACCGATCAAACAGGCCAAAACAGCTCTAAACAAATATGTGGGGGGATTTTGATATGAGAGACAACGGGGGATGGACTTTTTCATTGGAGGAAGCATTATTATGGATCATGTTATGGATATGGATCATTTTAGCCAGAAGCAATGGTTTGAATTTAAAAATGCCTTGATGGATTTGTTTCTTATAAACATGCAGCTTTTGGCTTCTCAAGATGTTAATTGATGGACTGGAGTGGTGTGGATTATTGTGATGTTTTTATCAACTCATCAGACTCATTCTGACGGGTTTTTTTAAGCATATATTAATTTTTTGGTTAACTATTCCTTTAAAATCATTTTGTGTGTGTGTGTCCCCTCATAGCATCGTCATTGTCTGTTAGTCATCCAAAATAATTGACAATGAACTTCTGTGCCTAACAAATATTTTCTCTGGAACACTTTGAGAGTGATTATACATGAGTCTGTTACTGTCTTTTCTCTCATAAATATTGACTTAAAATGTTACATTTACTGTATATTTACTTTTTAAATTGAAGATGTGCACTTTTAGTTAAAGCCAAAAATGTAAATGATTTACTTGCCCTTATGTAATTTTAGTGTTTTGGTTTTCTTTCTTCTGTGGAACACAAAGGTAGATGTTACGTAGATGTTCATGCTGCTCTTTTACTCACAATGAAAGCATTTTATTGCAATTACAGAAACAGCATACTTCAAGATGTCTTGTTGAACATGAATATTTCCCTTCTGCAGAGCTCATGCATGTCATTTTAGGTCACTGTCGCTGGTGTGCATCCAGCAGTGAGTCGTAGTGTTTCCATGTTCTCACTGAGACAGCGGGACACTTCTGTTGTGTCATGTGAATGTTGATTTCAGCTTAATCCAACCCTCTACGGACACCTTGGCAATTGAATCGCCATTGGCTAGTAAATTTTTTTGTTTACTCGCCAAACTGAAATACTATACTCTCTCTCTCTCTCTCTCTCTCTCTCTCTCTGCGTGTGTGAGAGAAAGCGTCAGCGAGTCGTGTATGGGATTATGTCTCTGCCGCAATTCTGCACGCGAAAGATCATATTTTGAGCGCGCAAAAGTGCGTTTTGCATGCGCGCGAACTGAGTTTTGTGGAGAAAATGTTTGTCTCGCAAAAAAAGTATTTCGAGCGCACGAAAATCTATTTTGCATTTAAAATAAGTTTTTGGATTGTAACGCTAGGTTGTGTTGAGCAAGCGAGCTGTTGGCATTTAGATAGCACTGAGGGCTGGCATCAAGGGAGCAAGCTAGTGAAACATTGCACGGGCAAAAGAGAAGGTCTGCACACATCCAAAAATTATTTTAAATGCAAAATTGATTTTCGTGCGCTCGAAATACTTTTTTCTTTGCGAGACAAACATTTTCTCCACAAAACTCAGTTCGCGCGCGTGCAAAACGCACTTTTGCGCAATAGCACTGAGGGCTGGCATCAAGGGAGCAAGCTAGTGAAACATTGCACGGGCAAAAGAGAAGGTCTGCACACATCCAAAAACTTATTTTAAATGCAAAATTGATTTTCGTGCACTCGAAATACTTTTTTCTTTGCGAAACGAACGTTTTCTTCACAAAACTCAGATCGCGTGCATGCAAAATGCACTTTTGTGCACTCAAAATATGATCTTTCGCGTGTAGAATTGTGGCAGAGATCTAAGCCTATAGTCGTGCGCCTTCACACTAGAGTTTGTTACGTCAAATACACAAACACAGGTGCACTGCGCATCCATTCAAATGAACTGAAAAATATCACAGATCGCTTGACGGAGAGTGAAACTCAGGTGCGCTGCGCATCCATTGAGATTAAATGATAAATAGCACAGATCGCTTGACGGAGAGTGAAACTGAAGTGTTTGGCAAGTGAAAATATATCTGTGCTAAACTTCAACTCACACACTGGCGAGTAAA